GGTATAATGACCACGCGTTCTGCTCAGGTTACATCTGTCTCTTATACACATCTAGATGTGTATAAGAGACAGGAGGGGGAGCATGAGATGGTGTGGTCTTGATACTCGTGCTTGGATCCCGTGTGTGTGTGTGTGTGTGTGTGTGTGTGTGTGTGTGTGTGTGTGTGTGTGTGTGTGGGAGAGGAAAGAGAGAGAGAGAGAGAGAGAGAGAGAGAGAGAGAGAGAGAGAGAGAGAGAGAGAGAGAGAGAGAGAGAGCATGAGATGGTGTGGTCTTGATACTCGTGCTTGGATCGTGTGTGTGTGTGTGTGTGTGTGTGTGTGTAATGTTAGTTCCCATGCTTGTTGCTTGGCCGTTTCTGACGAAACAGGAGAACTGGAGCAGTTGATGCCACTCTTCTTTCTCTCCCCCGCCCCCCAAACCGACCCCCCCCCCCCCCCCCCCCCCCCCCCCCCCCCCCTCTACCCCCCCCTCTTGTTTTTCCCCCCTCCCGCCCCGCCCCCCGCGCCCCGCCCCCCCCCGCCAACGAATTGGCAGTCTATGATGCCACGCTTTTCAGATGGAGTGATTTGTGGCTTTCGCTGCTTTGTTGGAATTTCCGAATATAGATTCGCTTTTCTGATCACTTTCCTCATTTCCATGTTCTGTTACTTGGCTAAATCTCTTGCTGTTTCGTTCTTTCCCGTTTTGGCAAGCAGGCAGTCGGGCAACAGAGGCGTGCTTGTGTTTTCTTTGTGCTGCCAAAAAGCAATTGCAGCTTGTCTTATCCAACGAGGATAAGACCTGTTATCCAAGTTCGGCTGTCTTATCTGAAAGCAATATTGGCGATGGATAAGACCATGGAGGACCTCGAGGCGATGTCGGAAGCGTTTCATGATATGCTTTTTAATTTCGATGCCATTCTCAAGATGACAATGGAGAAGTACATGGCCGCAAGAGGTTTGGAAAATCAAAAGACATGGAAAAAAAAAGAACCAAATTCTCCTTTTTCTGTTTTCCTGTGCGTGTGTATGT